CCAAGTAAGAGTTCCCTGCAAGATAAGCTACCAGTTCAGACAGTGGTGATGAAATATAAGACACCATGCAGTTTAGAGTAAAAAAATAGTCATTTCTAATAGTTTAAAAGGCTGAGCGTTAAATGCTGGTCCAGGCCCCGGAAGGATTCATTCCACAGACCTAATGCAGTGGGAGCCCAGAAACTCAAAGTGAAGTATGCCTTCCATGTCTGATAATAGACTTTGTGGAAACAGATTTCCTTGCTTTTAGTGTTTTCAGACTTGAAGCCCAGGGGGCAGGGGCATCTAACAGCCATTCTGTCAAGCCTGTCAAAGCAAGATGACAGATTTGTCCTTGGAACGAGAATTTTAACAATCTGGCAATTCCCACAGAGCGCCTACCAGGTGGGCATACCACGTTTGTCTAGGCCAATGCAGAGCAATGAAGATCACTGAAATGCACTCAATCTCGATCTTGTGAAGCAAAAAAAAATACATTTCAGGGAATGAGAAGTCGAGATCAGTGTCGAGCAGTCACATCTGTGCATCTGAAAGAAATCTGTCCAGTTCGCTGAATCCTGGAAGCCCACATCCAGTGCCCTCCACCTGAGATACCTCAGGGTGAAAGAACCACTCCTCCGTGTCCATGCATTGCTCACTGAAGAAAATCTGCCTGCCAACTGCTTACGCCCCAGCTACCTAGGCTGGTATGTAGGTTCCACCCAGGACAAGGTCAAATTACCTCTTGCCACAGAGAGACTTCAGGTTCCTCCCAGAATGATTCAAGCCACTGCTGCGGGCTTATTTTTCTGAATCCAATGACCCTCCACAGCAGGATGGTCCAATGCTGCAGAGGCAGCCAAATTGCCAGAAGGTCTAGGACAGCAATGGGCAAACTACGGCCCGGCGGACCTTTTAATCCGGCCCGCAGCCAGGGCAGGCAAACAGGATGTGTGTAGGCGGGCAGCGTGACGAACGTGAGGGGAGCTAGGCTCCTCTCACAGTCCGCCCTGAAGATCGGAACGGCGCGGGAACACGGCGAGAGGAACGCGCGGAGCAAAGGTAAGTGAATTGACACAGGGGAGACTTGGCTTACTACTTGGGGGGGGGGGGAATAGTACTGTGGGGGATGAAATACTATATGAGGGATGAATTACTATATGGGGGATGAATTACTATGCTTACTATGGGGAAATATTACTATACTTACTATGGATGACACATACACATCATTCATCTACTCTTGGTCCGGCCCCCGGGTCCAATATATGAACCCATTGCGGCCCTCAAGTCAAAAGGTTTGCCCATCCCTGGTCTAGGATGTTGATTGGGGGGATGAAAACACCAATGATCAAGTCCCCCCACAATGACAGAGTGTCCGGGACTCATTACAACCGCTGCAAGCTGTCAGTCATAAGGATCTGCCAAAGACTAGAAGGATTTTCAATTCCAAGGCTGCATTCCTGGGCCAGCAAGACAGTGACAACCCAGTTTTCAGTGACAGTACACCCAGAGATGTAGTTGACTGGTCGCAAAAATGACTGATGCACTGCTAAACAGTCAGACACATTCACACCTGACACCAAGTGATCCTTCAGGTCATGCAAGTATCCCACAATGGAGAGGCCATGAGAGTGCAGCAGCGCCAATGGTTGAGCCAGCATTTGGAGAACACCCAAGGTGCAGACAAGAAGCCAAGAATCCAAAAAGGACAGGGCCACACAGCAAAGCATAGAAATTGTCTCATGTCCTCTTTCTAGCACATCAGCAAACACACTTGATATCCACAAGTCAGAAAGTCTCTGTTGAATGGACACTGACAGATTTGGTGGATTCTATACAGAATTTCTGAAACCAAATGAAGGCCAGAGCTTTGCGGTCCAATACAGTGCAGATGTCCTTCTTAGGTTATAGAATTGGAGTGTACAGCATGGTGGAAAAAAAAAAACCCAAGCTTGGATTAAATCTGACACTGGCAAAACATTTTGCACAGGAAAGAGAAAGCTGGTGTAGCAGATGGGCCAGCAAAATAGCCAAACAAAAAGGCATGAAGTCAAATGGGGGGTGACCATCAGCTTAAAGGGTACTAGGGCCAGAGAAGACAAACTCCTCACGCAATTAAAGCCAAGATTAAGCTATCAAGTTCATCTGATCTCCCTTTCCTTGCACTTGTTGCTCTTGAGATTTGCCATGCCTGTGAATATCCTCCCCAGAGGTACCTGTAACCTCCACAGCTGAGAATACTTCAGTGTTCGGCACTTGTAGGCCGCAGTAAAAGCCACTTAATGCAGTAACCACTGCTACATTGTGCCACTAAGACAGTAGGTTTTGCCGGTCAAATGTTTTGCAAAGGAAGACGAAAAAGCAGGGTCTGCAGCTGTAACAACCAAAAGTGAGGCAGCACAGGCACAAAATAGTCATGTAGGGTAGCGCACTGGTGTAGTAGCACCATTTCAGACACAAACAACTGAGGCTAACTGGGTCATACGATTATACAGTGTCCAATTACCTGAAATAGTTGCATATAACCCAGTCAGAATAATTAAACATGTCCAGAGCAATTTATTTTTTTGCTAGAAAACTCCACTGAGCATATATTTTCTGAAAGCATAGGCTGTAATGGTGGCAGTTGCAATTTATGTCGCATGACATTTGCTCAACAGTTTATAAAATCTATGTTCTCATGAAAAACACAAACGCATTTTAGTTCACATAAAATACATTTCCACCACTTTCCATTAAGGACTGGCACCTTTGGGGACCAGTTGGTGGGTGCTGAGCGGGTATTGGCAGGTACCCGCTCCCATTTCTGCTGCAATCGCCTAGGTGATTGGAAGGGGAAGTTGTCCTCCTACCCTCCCCGTAGTCTTATGGGACACATGACAGGTCCCAGAAGATGACAGGGCCATTGAGGAAGCGCAGCGTTACTTGCGCATGCGCAGTGGGCACCTGGCTGTGAAGCCGCAAGTTGTCACAGCTGGGTGCCCACACTGAAGATGCCAGCGCCTGGAATACAGGACGGGCAGTGAACCAGGCTACGGTGGGGGCACCGTGGGATTGTGGGATAGGTGAGTGGCTATTTTTTAAAAGTCAGCAGCTACTGTTTTTGTAATTGCTGGCTTTTTTTTTTTTTTTTTTACAGAGTGAGTGGAACTCCGCTTTAAGCTTTTCTGACTAGCAAAAGGCATTGCTACTCTTTAGCAGGATATTTAAAGAAGATCTTCACCCAAAAGGGGAAGTCCCACTTGTTTGCATCCTTACCCCTTCACTGCAACATTTGGCACTTTTTGGGGTGGAGGCAGAAGCTGGTACCTGGTTTTGACAGGTACCTGTTACCACTTCCGGTCAGATTGGCATGGCAACGTTTGGCCCCTCCTCCTTCTGGAACACATCGCAGGTCCTAGAAGACTGCAGCACTATTCACAAAGTGCAGCACAGATAAAAGGAAACCAGCTGTGAAGTGGGAAGACTTCACTGCCAATTTCCCTTACCGATGCTGACGACTGCACCCAAAAGCAGATTGCAGAATTGGCTTGGGCGAGCACATCACTGGATCCCTGGACAGGCGAGTTTTTTTTTTTTTTCTTTAACTAGTTGCCGACCACAGCTGATCACGTGATGTGGTAAAAGGCCGATCCCAGCGGCCTTTTACCACGTGATCAGCGGTGTCCAATGACACGCTGATCACAGGGAAATGCAAGTGCCGGTTCTCGGCTGCACTTTCCTCACGCTGTCAGATCGTGAGGAAAGTACTGCCGAGAACCGGCAGTTGTCACAGCGGGGATCGGCACCGATCATCAGGACACCGATGATCAGTGCCCTGATGATCGGTGCCCAGCAGTGCCACCCGCAAGTTCCGCCCACCTGTGCCCAGCAGTGCGCCCACTAGCTCCGCCCACCTGTGCCACTCTGCAGTGCCACCCACCTGTGCCACCCACCTGTGCCCAGAAGTGCCACCCACCTGTGCCCAGAAGTGCCACCCACCTGTGCCCAGAAGTGCCACCCACCTGTGCCCAGAAGTGCCACCCACCTGTGCCGCCCCCACCCACCTGTGCCGCCCACCCACCTGTGCCGCCCACCCACCTGTGCCGCCCACCCACCTGTGCCGCCCACCCACCTGTGCCGCCCACCCACCTGTGCCACCAGTCAGTGCCCATGGGTTGTGCCAGTCAGTGCTGCCAGTCAGTGCCGTCTATCAGTACCGCCTATCAGTGCTGCATATTAGTACTGCCTATCAGTGCCCATCAGTGCCGCCTATCAGTGCCCATCAGTGCCGCCTATCAGTGCCCATCAGTGCTGCCTCATCAACGCACATCAGTGCTGCCTCATCAACGCACATCAGTGCTGCCTCATCAACGCACATCAGTGCTGCCTCATCAACGCACATCAGTGCTGCCTCATCAACGCACATCAGTGCTGCCTCATCAACGCACATCAGTGCTGCCTCATCAACGCACATCAGTGCTGCCTCATCAACGCACATCAGTGCTGCCTCATCAACGCACATCAGTGCTGCCTCATCAACGCACATCAGTGAAGGAGAAAAAAATACCTGTTTGAAAAATTTATAATAGAAACAAAGAAAAAGTTTTTTTTTTTCCAAATTTTTTTGCACTTTTTTTTATTTATAGCGCAAAAAGTAAAGCGCCCAGTGGCAATTAAATACCACCAAAAGAAAGCTCTATTTGTGAGAAAAAAATGATCAAAATTTCATATGGGTACAATGTTGCATGACCGCGCAATTGTCAAAGTGCGGCAGCGCTGAAAGCTGAAAATTGGCCTGGTAAGGAGGGGGGTATAAGTGCCTGGTAGGCAAGTGGTTAAATAAAAGTATCTGTAGCTGAAGACTTAATTTTTTTGGGGGGGACTGGAGGCTCCACTTTAAGAACGTCTGAAAAGTTAAAACGTAAAAAAGTACCATTCCCTATCTCTATATTGCACAGTATAGCACTATCTGTAGACTAGTCAAGTAAAATAGTCAATTGACAAAAATGAAACTTACAAACCGCAAAAATATGTACCTGCCATGATGTGATCGGCTTCTGCTACGCTGTTGTCTGTCAGACCGTCTGAAGGGAGAAGGTGCATGGAGAAAAACAAGTGAATACAAACCATAAGGATTTACTTAACGGTGAGATAGTTACAGTACAAGCATGGAAGACTTACGCTCTAGGACTGTAGGATCTCTCATAGTTCTGGTCATAAGATCGACTCCTGGACCTTCGCCTCTCATAACTGCGGCTTCTAGACCGCCTGTGTCTGTCATAATCATCATAACGTGAAGAACCATAGGAGCTCCGCCCCTCCTTGGCTTTCATTTGAGTGGGTGCTATGAAGTGCAAGATAAAAATGAAGATTGAAAGAAAATTAAAGCCCAACAATAGAAAATTTACTCCCTCTGAAAGGGTTAAATGCTTGTTATGGCTAGAAGTTAGTGTACAGGCTTTAGTACTTGCCTTACACCCCGGCCCCAGTGCTCTCCCCTGCCCAAAGCTCCAGTCTCTGAGCACATCCTCAGGTCAAATATACAGACGTCAAACAGCTGAATCACTGAAGGGCTGTGCTGAAGTGAGGAATAAGGCAAGTATTCACCATATTCAAGCACTTCTTGAAATAGCAAGCATGTTACTCTTGCAGTGGAGGGGGTGGAGCAGCAGCTAGGAGGGTTATTAAAAAAACAAACAACCAACCAAACACCACACTGTGCAAGACTCTCCCACCTCCCCTCCATACAGCAATGCATTTCTAGGAACAGATCCTATTGAAAGCAGATAATTCTCTACATTCTGGGTCATTTAAAAATGCAAGCAAATACAGTGACACTGGTGTTTTAATCCTACAATACATATTTTGCACAATACGTTAAAAGTGCATCTAGGTTTGGAACACCTAGATAAATTACCTAACAAGTTTCATTTCACAATGTTCAAATGCCACCAATTATGTGTGAATCTGAAAACATCCTCAAATTTATTGCTTTTTGATGAGAAAAATAGATTTGGTATATGCTCTTCAGAGACAAAACACATCCAATGTAAAGTACAATCAAATGCAAGAATATCAGTGTCATGTAGGGAGACTACAAATTTTTTAAATACCAGAGTAGTGCTAGCCACTTGTGTAAAATACATATCTTGCCAAAATAACTTATCAGCCCACTGTAAAACAGCAAAGCTCTGCACTTCCTGGCCAATAAATGGACAAAACAGGAGAGTGTGTGGGGTTGCATACAGAAAGCTTTAACATTATCCTTGAGTGACAGAGCTTTGTCTGAGCCAGCTGGTTTGCAAATAGACAGGAAAGTATTTTTATATTTGTTTTAAAAACATGGTTTTTACCTTTCTCTTGTTACTTCCTAGTTTCTAGGCCTAAGCAAACATCCCAAGAGTCTTCAGGAGGGGAGAAAGGAAGGAGGGGTTCTTTCAACTAAGCAACAGAAACAAGATATACCTGTGCTCAGGTAATCTAGTTTCTGTTGCATAGCAGGTCAGTAGCCATACCTAAACCTAGTAGCTCCCCCCCCCCACTAAGAAGCAATTCTCTGAGCATGTATTTCATGCTCCTAGAAGCTGAAGTGTTATCCTATGTGTCCATGCACACTACCTTATGCTAGAAGCATTTTTTGAGCTTCAGCATTTAAGAGCACGGGAAAAAAAAAAAGGTTTTTGTAGAGTTTTAAAGGAGCGTAATCATGGTAGAAAAAAAAACAGAAAAAAAAAACAAAAACCCAACACTGAACGCTCTTAAGAGCTTTTTTTTTTCTTCATGTACTGTAAAAACGCGAACTCTCCAAAATGCTATCAGGCATAAAACCGCTATTGTCAGCCTTTTTAATCCAGCATTTTTGTAATTTTTGAAAAAAACAAAAAAAAAAATGTGTGTGCATGGAGCCCAATAATTTGTAGTTTCTTTTGCAGTCCCTCAGTTAAAGATGCATCTCAAGAAAAAAAGGCTTGCTAAATGCCCTGTGCACACAGCACTGGACCACAACCCCCTCAACTCGGTTGCGTCCTCATTTCTCCCCTGTAGTTTACACAGTCCAGAGCTGCAGTCCGCTATTTAGTGCAAAGTGTGAAATGGTCAGCTTATCTTGTGAAGCAGCTCAAGGATTCTTACATTCACAAAGGGGAACAATCTGACAACAGCACATTGTACTACATTAACCTGTCTCAGAATAACACAGTACCTGCCATGTGCTATTGTCAAGATTCCTTTTATTGACAAACACTTTAAGCTACAACAATTCACAACATAAGCTGATAGTTTACAATATCACTAAACTGAATAACAAGCTGCACCTCCAGACTCCAAACTAAAGAGGAGAGATGAGGAGACAGTACAATGATGCTGCCTGGCAACTTAGGGGGTGTGAAAAGATGCCTGTCATGCCCCTCTCCTCCTGAACTGTCAGTCAGAAAGCCATCTCAGTTGATGTGTTGGGACAGTTAGGTGGGCAGGGATAACTGACAGCACAGATCAGCAACCACTGCATGCATTTGGATGGGGACAAGAGCTATGTGCACAGGATACCCCAGGTATTTTACAAGCTTTTCTTCGGGGGCGATAGATGTTGGAAGAGTTTCAGAAGTATTTTAAAGGTTCTTTAGGAGGTCAAAACACTTACCTTATTGGTGCTTTAATATGAAAGCAGAAGATGAGAGTAGACTACAAAGTTCACAGCTCATGAACTTACAAAAAAAAAAAAAAAAAATAGATGCCTTGGAGGCAATTAAATTGGTTGTCTTTTGAAAAAACCTGTAACACACTAAACGATATCCCTATTTTCTGAAAATAAGCCATAAACATTCACTATTTAATGGTCCTGTAATTCTGTTTTTCATGAAGTAGTTTTCCGCTGCCATGCAACATCCTCTGAACTCCCACTTCCATTTGTTTGGAACAAGCAGTTCATGCTAGTTTGGGTCATGGTAACTGCTGTATGCACGCTACAAATGCCAGAGTCCAGCTTGGGAACGTACAAAAGAGGGTGGCCAAGTTCCTACATACAGTGAAACCATGGAAAATTAACATAGCAAGGCTTTTGGCGTTAACACCTACAGAATTTGTTTTAACCAGTGTTTAGAGTCACTTTAACTGCTTGCCCGCCGCCTTATAGAAGTAGTACTGCTGCAGGGTAGCAAGTGTACGCAAAATCACGTATATATACACACACGATTTGCATTTCCGGGTAGGGGGCACGCATGAGCCGCCCTACCCACGCCGCCATTGGTGGCTACGGATGTCAATCACTGGGTCCCGGCCAGATATTCCCTGCTGGCAACTGGCGATCGCCGAGTAACATTGAGAGGGGAGAACATGCTGCTGTGTATTTCTCTACACATCAGCATGTTTCCCTAGTAAAAAAAAACACAGCACATTATGTAAAACAGCACAGCAGTTAACCCTTTGATCGTCCCAGATGTTAACCCTTTCCTGCCCAGTGTCAGTGCTTTTTATTAGCACTGATCATTGCATTAGTATGTCAGTGGCAGTTCCCGCCCAGTGTCAAAATGTCCGCTGCAGTCCCGTAAATAAGTCGCTGATCTCCGCCATTACTAGCAAAAAAATTCAAATATAAATATTCAAGTATACCGCCATTTGCAGACGCTATAGCTTTCACGTAAACCATTTTACACGTATTGGGTTTTTTTTTTTTTTTTACGCAAAAGACATACAGCAGAATACATTTTGGCCTAAATTTATGATGAAATTTGATTTAAATTTCTTTACGGATTATGTTTTATAGCAAAAAGTCAAAAATATTAATTTTTTTTAAATTGTTGGTCTTTGTTTATAGTGTAAAAAATTAAAACCCACACACGTGATCAAATACCACCAAAAGAAAAAAAAAAAAAAAAAAAAACAAAAAAAAACAAATTTAATTTATGCACAGCGTTGCATGACCGCACAATTGTCAAAGTAATGCGTCATATCGCAAAAAATGGCCTGGTCAGAAGGAGGGTAAATCCTCTGCAGTGGTTAAAACAATAGTAAAAGATTTTCAATACTTACTTTTCCTGTCTCCCTGTGCAAACTGAATTTCAATCTGACGTCCACAAATCCATCTCCTGTCTAGGTTATGCAAAGCATCCTCGGCATCACGGACATCTTCAAATCTGCTTGCAGTCAAGGTTTCTTTACAAAAAGATGAAAAGGCACTGGTTCCCACTAGAAGGTTAAATGTACGTACCAGCAGGGGTCATTACAATCCTATGTCTGCAGAATTACTGCTGCTCTCCACTCTGCTGAGGCATATTTAAGTCAATGGGTTCAGACACCCTACCTAAAACAGAAGGAAATGTAGGATTTGCCACTGCTGATCTTGAAAATGCCAGTTGCCCATCTCTGGCTTTAAATTTGTAAACCTTAATTTTTTTAGGTGCATAAAGGTTTTTTGTTTTTTTCTTTTTCAGCAGCCTTAAAGGGATTCTTGCTCTGTGTGGAACCATGCTTCAGAGAGGTCTGACACTCCCCCTGCCGAGTCACACCTCTAGCTCTGCAATCCTCAATAGTCTTGCTCCCTGCTGACTGGGAAGCTCTGTCGGACTTGGTAGCGGGTTGTGTCAGCCCTCTACAGAAAAAGCATCAGACAGCACACTGGCAGGGGACAGGCTATTTTTTAAAGCAGTTTGTAGCCATTTTCTCAAGAAAACAGACAAAAGCTGGCCATAGTTTGGTAGAATTTTTAACAAACTTTCAAGACTAAGAAAGAAAGATTGTTTTTCTTATCGTTGGTCTATCAAAATTGACAGTCGTTTGACTGCACTGACAAGAAAACTCCTAGAAATTTCCAACTGTGCATGTTTTCATTTGATAAAGGCCACCCATTCAAAATCTTTCGAATGACATTCTGAGAATTTTCACACAAGTGTTCCTAAGAATTCATTCTACATTCTATGGCCAACTTAGGCTAAATGCACTCCAGATGCCTCAAAACAAAAAGGAGAGCAAAGTCTTATTTCAACTGAAGGTTCATTACTGGTGTTTTGAGCCACTTACCCAGGAATAAGCACAAAAGCTTAGAAAACTCAAATCTATAAATAAATATGATCTGCTGTCTTGTTCAATGCTTCCCTTCCCCCTCCCATTTTCAAAAATCATTGATTCAGCTTGTCAGCCAGGCAACTAGCATTTCAGAAGTACCAAGCTATGGCAGCCCCTATATTACTTCTTTTTACAATCAGATCTTTATTAAAATTCTCTTTTCAAAAAAACACACCATTCACAATAACCAAACTTAACTCTAGCTATCTTAAAAATAATAAAAAAAATATATTATTTCACAGTCTACAATATATGCATATATGTTTACCAACAGACATACTCCATTTGCCCTCTGGAAACCCTTCAAATGTCTTAAATGATATACAATTATAAAGTGATTTTCGTATTTAAATACACCCTTTAAGGCTCTCTAAATATCCAGGAGACTGTCAATTTTTCCCAAGATTCAATTTACTTATTCAGCTTTCCAAGAGCAATATCTCATTTCACTCCTATTTGTATCTGTGACAGTTAATTTCCACTTACTTTAATTCCTACAAGTGTACTGCCCTATTATCTACCACCCTACCAAACCATCCCCCATGTGCTTCACCCTACCAACCTATCCCTAATCATTTTTATCCAGAGAGCACAAGTTGGTAGAGTCATGGAAACCCATTTATTCGCGATCAATTTTCTTGCTATAAATAGATTAAGGATCGCCATCCAGGTCTGAGGATTATATACTTCTGTGTCCAGCCGCCCCAATACACATCTTGGGCTTCATCAGAATATTAACTCCAAACACATTAATAGTGTCTAACCAACTTGGGACATCTCCACATCATATGTCCCAACATTCCTTTCATATTGTGGACGTAACGGAATATCCCTCTTGTGCCACTTAAAACGTTTCTGGGGGATATATGTCCGATGTATATCAATTGGGTAAGTCTCAGATGCAGAAAGGGATACCGGTCCTATATTATAAAGAATATTTGCCAATACAATCTGCACCTCAGAATTTGATTTTGACCTTATTTGTAACAGTGCATTATAAAGCCTTGTTACTTGTCCCCTCTTAGATTTCACTGCTAGACTTTGGTTAAGAATTGTGGGTAACAGACCCAGGGCATCTGTCTACACTGTGCGCACAATTATAAGGGGTTTTATTATTTATTATGCGTATTGTCCAACTCCAAGCTGTATAAACTTGAATGCTTATTGGATTTAAGCATATCAGGTGATGTGTATTTGTGTAATGAGGGAGGGTGTGGCCTAAGGAAATCAACACTCTGTATCAAGGTGTGCATAACTAGGCAGCTTTTTATCCTCAGAAAAATGGGCCAAAAAAAAAAAAAAATTAAAAAGATTTAAATGACTCAGTCAAAAATGGTAAAGGTCTTTAGGAGGGATGCAGCACTTTTGAAATTGCTAAGATATTGGAGCATGATCTCAGAACCAAATGTTTTGCTGCAAACAGTCAAGTCAACAGGGTCACAAGAAAAGGGTTAAGCTGCCAAAGATTTCCGAAGAATCAAACGTGAAGCTACCAGGAACCCAGTGCTTGAATCCTCCAGTGCTGTCATATTCCAGTACAGCAACCAACCTGGAGAACCCAAAAGTACAAGGTGTTCAGTGCACAGAAACATGGCCAAGGTGAGGAAGACTGAAACCCAAACAACTGGGCAAGACGGGTTGAACCATCAAGACTGGGCCAAGGAACATCAAAGACAATTTTCAAAGGTTTTAGGAACTGATGAGATGAAAGTGACTCTTGGTGGACAAGATGGATGGCTGGATCAGTAACTGGCACAGAGCTCCACTTTTACACAGATGCGAGCAAGGTGAAGGTGGGGTACTGGTATTATTAAAGAGCTAGATGGACCTTTTAGGATTGAAGGTGGACTCAAAATCAACTTCCAAACCTACTGTCAGTTTTCAGAAGACACTTTCTTCAAGCAGCGGTACATTAAAAAGTCTGCATCTTTCAAGAAGACTGATATTTATGCAGAACAATGCTCCATAGCATGCATCGAAGTAATCCACTGCATGGCTAGCCAGTAAAGGACATAAAGATGAAAGAATGACAGGGCCCCCTTCCTCACCTGAGCTAAACCCTATTGAGACTCTGTGGGCCCTTCTTAAACAGGAAGAACAGTGAAGGAAAAACAGTACACCTCTCTGAACAGTTTCTGGGAGGCTGTGGTTGCTGCTGCGCAAAAAGTGGTCAGTCAACAGATCAAGAAACTGACAGATTCCATGAAAGGAAGGCTTATGACTGTTATTTAAAAGAAGGGTGTCTATACTGGTCACAGATTTTTTTTTTTAATGTCAGAAAATGTTTATTCTGAAATTTTATTGGTTTATTTTCATTTGTTAAAGTGAGAATAATAAAGTGAGCTGGGAAAATTTTCGTTTTTCATTTAAATGCATAATTCAGCACACTAAAAGTTTCCCAAAAAGTGTGCACACATTCTAAAAGCCAAAACCTCACTTTTACTTTCTGAAATATTCAGGTTTACGATTAACATTTTAGATTGACCGAGAGCACTGTAGCTGTTAAATAATGAAATTAATCCTCAAAAATACAAGTTGCCTAATAATTGTGCACACAATGTAGACTGGTTTTGGAAAGCATGCCTGAGCTGCAAATTATGAGAAAAACTTTTGGTAGGCAGACCAATTTCCTCCTGCAAGGTCTGAATATCTTTCAAATGTTGACCCCCTCCCACCCCCCCCCCCCCCCCCCCCCCCCGATATAGTTGTGGGATGTACACAGCCTCTTTCTGACCATTTATTAAATTCCTGCAGTTTTAATAGCTCTGAAAAAACTGAAGTTCTGAAAGATTCAGGAGGAATCAGTATACCCTTATACTGACAATCTTTAATCCTATTCCAAACCATGTCTATCATAGCTAGAGTGAGGAACCAATTGGTAGATTGTTTAGAGGCTAATCTGAATTTGCCCGCCTCTAAACAACCAAAAACCTAGAAATAATGTAAAAACCTAGAAATAATGTAGACAGTATTTTCTTAATTTGATAATTACTCACATTTTTCTACCAACCCATTAAATGTTGGTGCTGCGCTGAGAAATGGTCTGGCCGTTCCAACCCAATTCCTATACTACCATTTTCCTTACCTTCCTGCAATAGTTCTAATTTTATGCACGAATTGAGCTTTTTCCCAGATAAGCATACAGAGTACAGCCCTGGCCAAAAGAATGGAGAATGACAAATTTTTTTACATAGTCTGCTGCCTCAGTTTTTATGATGGCAATTTGCATATACTCCAGAGTGCTATGAAGAATGATCAGATCAATTCCAAACAAAAAATAATTTCCACTGCATTTCAGCCCTGCTACAAAATGACCAACTGACATGTCAGTGATCCTCTCTGTAACACAGGTGTCAGTGTTGAGGACAAGGCTGGAGATCACGGTCATGCTGATTAAGTTAGAATGACAGATTGGAAGCTTTAAAAAGCAGGGTGGTGCTTGAAATCATTGTTCTTCCTTTATTAACCATGGTTACCTGCAAAGAAACGTGCAGTTATTGCTTTGCACAAAAAGGGATTTACAGTAGAGATGCACCGAAATGTTTTGGACAAAAACAGCCCTTTCAGCTGACAGTCAAATTGGAAAAAAAAAAAAAAAAAAAAAAAAAAGCGCACCGATACGGGTGCCCGAAAAACCCTGCCGGCCCCTCGGTAGTTCAGTCTTACCTGAGAAACCATCGATCCCGGCATAGAGATGAGTGAAGGAAAGATGGCCGCCACACATCTTATGCCCTTGGGAGAACCGGAGCGATGTCACTTCTGGGTTTTTTTTTTTTTTTTTTTTAAAAAGCACTAGGATCAATGCTTTTTTTTTTTAATCTAATGCTATACATTGCAGAGGAGAGATGTGGGGTCTTAATGACCCCATATCTCCCCATAAAGAGGACCTGTCACTAATTATTTCTATCACAAGGGATGCATGCATTTCTTGTGATAAGAAAAAAAGTGATTACAAATTTTTTTTAAAAGTGCACAAAAAAAAAAAAAAAAAAAAAAAAGTTTCAAGTGCCCCCGTCCCCCGTGCTCACATAGTGGTGAACGCATACGTAGGCCATGCCCATATATGTAAATGGTATTCAAACTACACGTGAGGTATCACCACGAACGTTGGAGAAAGAGCTATAATTCCTGCACTAGACCACCTCTGTAACTTTACACTGCTAACCTGTAGAAATTTTCACAGCATGACCCATTGAGATTTAAGTATCGCAGTTTCACAGCATTCCACAAGCGTGCGCAATTTTAAAATGCGACATTTTGGGTATTTAATTTGCCGTAACATCCTTTTACAAAACTGGGGTGTAATATATATACATACATACATATATATATATATATATACATATACACACACACATTTATTTTTTTTTAATCAAAGTGTATTTTTTCCCCAAAAATATATATTCATTTTTAAAAACTGCATTTTGGTTTTCAGCCAAGTGCATTTTGAATTTTCGTTTTCGGCACCCGAACTTTCATTTCGGTGCACCACTAATGCACAGGCAAAGATACTGCTGCTTCTAAGATAGCAGCTGAATCAACGATTAAGTGGGTCATCAAGAACTTCAAGGAGAAAAGGTTCAATTGTTGTGAAGGCAGCTTCAGGGCGCCCAAAAAAGTCCAGCAAGCACCAGTACGGTCTTCTAAAGTTGATTCCGCTGCGGGATCAGGACACCACCTGTGCAGACCTTGCTCAGGAATGTCAGCAGGAAGGTGTGAGTGCATCTGCACACACAGTGAGGAGAGACTATTGAAGGATGGTTTGGTGTCAAGAAGAGCAGCAAAATCACTTCTCTCCAGGCACACCATCAGGGACGCACTGATTCTGCAAAAAGGTACAGGAACTGGATGGCTGAGGACAGGCATAAAGTTATTTTCTGATGACTCCCGTTTCCAATTGTTTGGTGTCATGCCAACAGTAAAGCATCCTGAGACAATTCATGTGTGGGGTAGAACAGCATCATGAAGAATGGTACAAAAAAAACATCCTCAGAGAGCAACTTCTCCCAACCATCCAAGAACAATTTGGTGACAAACAATGCATTTTCCAGCATGATAGTTAGCACTTTTTCTTTATGACAAGGTTCTCCAACAAACAAAACATCAAAATTTTGGGTCCATGCCAGAGACATTCCCCAGACCTTAATCCCATTGAGAACTTGTGGTCAGTCCTCAAGAGGCGGGTGAAAGAGGAAAAAAAAAAACACCCCACAAATGCTGACAAACTCCAAGCATTGATTATGCAAGAATGGGCTGCCATCTGTCAAGATGTGGCTCAGAAGTTAATTGACAGCATGCCTGGGAAAATTGCAGAGGTCTTGAAAAAGGGTCAACACTGCAAACATTGACTTTCTGCATAAAAATGTATAGATGTCAACAAAAGCTTTACAAACTTATGAAATACTTGTAATTATGCATCAGTATACCATAGTAACATCTAACAAAAAGATCTAAAAACACAAGCAGCAGACTTCGTGAAAAAAAATATTTGTGTCATTTTTAAAAAATTCTTGTCCAGGGCTGTATAGTGTTCAGTCGTTATAAAACAAAACAGGAAGCCACACTGAAGCATTTGGTAAAGCATATAATAATTGTGGCATCCAAATTTTAATTAAGGTTTAAGTAAGGCTTATAGGTTTCTGTTTAAATTTAATAGCTAGTGGGTTATTTAAATCTGCATACCTAGAGATATCCCAATGTATAACTATTCCCAAATACACAATGTTTCTATCACCTAGCATGAGAACAAACATATCCCAATTTATTTTGAAGCCTGAATGGGAGCCAAAATTAGTAATAGACATTAGGCCTTCTATGGATGTACCGTGAAGGAAATAAGTATTTCCTTCACTGTCTTACATTTCATTATAAGAGCTCATGTACACAGGGCATTTGGAAAACTCTTCTGACCACTGGAAACTGACTGCTAGAAAACCTAGGTTAAAAAACATCAGTTTAGCCGCGTTTGCATACCGCGTTTAGAAGCGTTTTTAAAAGATAACGCAGCAGACCATCCCAAATGCCCAGAAAAATAATAAATTGATTATTTATGACATTTTGAGAGAAATAGAGAGAGCAGTACATGTTGAGACTACCTGTCTTTTATGGTTGTATTCACTATGGATCCTATCAAGAGCATAATGCAGCACGGTCTACCATTTTTTCCTTCATGTGAAACCTGGAACTGACTGCACTGGTGTACTAGATCCATTTGAATACATGCTCCATTTGAATACACGCTTTGCATGCATTTTTGATGAAGAAAAAAAAAAAAAAAAAGGCTCTGGACAGTATCTGGATATGGACCTGTCAAAAAACGAGTAAACCGCAAATGCGGTAAACCCATGTTTAAGTTTGAAACGCTGATAGAATCTACAAGAGTAGTCACATGCCTGATGAAGGGGTCCTGCGAGACTCCGAAACATTGCCTTGCTGTAACTATGTGATGGTTTATTAAAACCTTTGGACCCATATTGGTGATCCTCGTGTGCTGGTGACATTTTTTCCCGACTGTGTACATGGACACATAGGAAAACAAAAAGGAGAGTTCAGGGGCTTCTGAGAAAAAAAAAAAAAAAACTCAACAGCTCCTGAATGTCAGTTTAGCAGATGCAGTGTACATGAGCCCTTATAGATAACACTGGGAGGAGTACATCACCGAAGACCTTATAGATTTCGATGGGCAACCCATTGCTTCCAGGTGCTTTTGCCTTGGGGGAGGTCGTGACGGCTACCTGTGGTTCTTCCAATTTAATGGCTGTATTCAGAAACGGTCTGCTTGCCCGAGCTCTGGCAGAGTAACCTTGTTGAAAAAATAAATAAAATCGATTACTTCCTTGAATCTACCACTTTGTCCATTCTGAATGTGGGAAAAACAAGGTCTGGGTCTGTCAATAGTCCCTTAATTCCTAGAAGATGTCATGTGTGAGCTCAGTATGGCTTTTGGAGCGTTCTATATTTCACGGGTCCCAGAAGAAAGAAACAGGTGATGTTACCTAACAAATTTAAAGTTGCCACGTTTACAACGGGCAACTCAAAGCAGCCCATAACAGCAAGATGCTTAAACTCAGACTCCTTTTAAAATTTCTTGCATTCTAGGAAAGCTCTCACACCCACCACTTACATCACTAACCCTCTGGAAAAGCAACATATGTACACACACACAGAAAGAGGCAATATAAGCTCAAAACCACAGAACAGCCCCTAGAACAGAATGTCGCTGTAAATTGTTAAACTGAATGTTCTTTGGCTGCGATTGAGAACACAAATAATTTTTTAAACCCAAATACACAAACCTCAAAAACCTTAAATCAATCTTGGGCATCCCCTTTCAACTATATGCCAAGGACCACACACAGAAAAGGAAAAATAAAAACAAAAAAACAAACGCACATATTAGATTGCGGATGCCAGGTCTGGCTCCTGCACGATCTTCCACTTGCTTTGTGCCTGTATTCCTATATGAACTGTTACAAAGCTAGAGGAAAAATGAATGAACTACAAGTGGGCTGAGCAGTGCACTCACAGACCAAACTACAAGTTGTCTACTGTGTGCCATATTTCAGTCACAGATCTATGTAAATGAATGAGTGCTGTTGTGACATCAGGTGTGGTAGAGAGGATCCTCCCCACCTGCTTTCAGAGGGGAGCTCTGGCTATGGGAGATAGCAGCATGTCACATCCTAAACATGGGTGTAACATGCTCCTAAAGGTGAACTTATCCTAATAGATACAAATGATTCTATTAAGAATAAAAAAAAAAAAAAAAAAAAAAAAAAAAAAAAAAAAAAAAAAAAACACAAATAAAGTAAAGTAACATGGCAATACAGAATCAAAATATCATACCATGCAAAAACACCATGCAGAGGACAGTTAACTTTGAACCTAACCTACCCTGAAATTAAATTTAGAACATTATACACAGCAGGTACTTGTGTAGTATCTAAACATCACAGTTTTAATCTGAATGAGAAGGAAAAGCCAAACTGTAAGAAAAATATGATCATCTTGATCCACCTGCAAAATTGCGGTATTGCAGACCAATAACCTATAGCTTACACCCATCCATTATCAAATTGCGTACTTACACAAGAGGACACATGAAGGTAGGATACATAGTCTCCTGTAATCTTGGTCACCATTCAACGACATCTTGACCTTTTATTTCTAAGAGCTTGTCAGAAGGACTTGTCAGGAGGGGCTTCATGCTTTTATCTTTAACTTTCAAAAATAACTTCCCCACTTTTGTGAATTAAGCGAAGCTTTGACTCCTATTTGGCTTGTCCTTCTTCCAGCTTTTCTTTTCCCAATTTCCCTTTTAATCTTCAAGCCTGATCATTAAGGTGTCTTTGCTTTGTCTACTTGTCTCTACTCTAAAAGTTCTTTTCATGCTTTCTCTGTGGTTTCGCCTTTAATGTACAGCTTTACAATTCTGAGGTAACAACAGAACAGCAGAATTAGGAAAAAGATTTAAAGTGAAATGAAGTCATCTATCCATAAATATAAGTGGAAACAAAATGTTGACTGGATTTGTTGCAATATTTACTTGTAAGCTAATAGACCTTTGTTAGTTTTACAATGCACACAAGTTAAAAGAATCGAGCGTGCTGGCGAATTACTTTGCAATGTATAGTGAGCATCAAGTGATTATCAAAGCAAAGCAATTCGTGTTGTGTGCAGTTACCTCTCACACAATCTTTGTTAACATTTTCCCTCATGACCCAGTTGAGGGAAGAAAGGATATTGAACATATGCAAATCCCCTGGGACGTCGCGTGTAGTAATCAAGGGGGACATATACATCAACAATAGGCCCATATCGACCAAATTCTCTGCGAAGATCTTCAGACCTGAAATAAAACATTTTAGTTTATCTTTAATACTTTGAAAAACTCTGTCCAAACCTTGCAGTCATCAGGAGAAACTTGGTCTACATTAATAGTTTCTGGATCTCAAAGTCCATTCACATTTTTTTTAGTTGAAAAAAGTAAAAGCCCTTTCACATGTATGAAAATTGAATCCTATATATCAGTTTGTCTATCCAGTTAAGAACAGTAAACATTCTATTTGCACATCTTTAATAGAGGGATAAAAAAACAAAAAAAAAAAAAAAACATAATTTCTTGCATAGAAACAGAAGACCTCTGTCTACAAAATCAAAATAGAATGCAAACCTTTTCGTTTCTTTTTTTAAATGTGGAAATAAACAGGATATACATCCCTTATTTGCCTGCCTTTAGACATACATTGTGGTTCAGGCTAGAATCTGAAAAACGGATGGATGGATCCAGACAAAACGTGCGAAAGGGCCTTAAAGGTAGCTTTGCTATCACCAATATGTTTCATGCCCATTGTTCTACTTCATACACTTTAGTCTCAATTATACAGGTGTTACTCACTGTAAAATCCCTTTGAGTTGATTGACAGACACAGCTCTTCTCATTCTCTACCACAGCCACTATACTGCCATCTACAGGAGTAGGACAATAGGCAGGAAGAAACTTGGCACCGCCTATAGGCAGTCCCCAGCTAGTGTAAATCACCTCTCTGCTATAGTCAATCAAGTTAGTCACAAAGCAATGTCAGACCTCTTCAATACCGGGCACATTTACCCCCTTCCTGCCTAGTCCAATTGTCAGCTTTCAGTGTTGACACACTTTGAATGATAATTGTGTGGTCATGCAACACTCTACCCATAAAAAAATTTGTCTTTCACACAGAGCTTTCTTTTGGTGGTATTTAAATCGCCAGTTAATTTTTTGCTAAAACTTTTGAAAAAAAAAAAAAAAAAAAAGAAAGACCCAAAGACGTTTTTTTTTTATAAAATTTTGCAAATAAAAACCCATTTCTTCATAAATTTAGGTAAAAATGTATTCTGATACATTTCTTTGGTGAAAATACCCCAAATTCATGTATAGTAGTCTGTAGGAAAGATATAGAGTCCACAAACCATGGTATATAGATCTGACCATTAATCCTGATGTACTGACAGCCCATCTCATTTCTTGAGGCCCGAAAATGCCAGGATAGTACAAACAACCCCCAAATTACACATTTTGGGAAAATAGACAGTGAAAGGTATTTAGTAAGAGGCATGGTGAGTTTTGTGGAGGTTGTATTTTTTGGAAAATTTAGAAATTAGAAAAAAAAATTCCATTTTTTTTTTTACTACACACTGTCTCCAGTACAGTATTATAATAACTGGTGTGGCAGTGATCAGGGACACTGACTGGTGACAGTATGTTAAAAAAAAAAAAAAGTTCTTAATTTTTGTATTACATTACTTTGTCTTTTTTTTTACCATTTGTTTTCAACACACCATGACCAAAGCAATACAATGTTATGGTAACATTGAACTACTGTGGACAAGTGATCAGATTTTATTTTTTTTTTCTTTAAACACTAGGATTGCAAATACCAATGCATTTTGTTGATACTTGCAATCATTGTTACAGAATGAAACAGATTCAGTCTTGTTATGATTAGGCAAAGCTCACCACATGATACAGATGGGCTGTGATTGGCCGTCTGTACCATGTGACTGCTTTGACCAATCACAGCTAACACAATTGTATACAATGAATGGCATGACAGGAAGTCCCGTGGACACAGCCGGTGACCGCTCCTTCTGACAGGACATCATATGATGCCCAGTCAGAAGTGTCCCGCCTGGTCTTCAATCTGCTATAGGCTGGGAGGGAAGGTGTAAAACTCCCAACAACTACAGCAACCAGGCAAATATGCCACCACTAAAAAAAGCCCCAAAGGGCAACAAGGAGCCGGAAACAACGGCCCTCAAAACCTAGCAGTTACAACCATGCAAACAAAGCAACGACTAAAATAGTTGTAAAAGTATGCACAGCCGACCAAATAGCTGCCTAATAGGCAGGAGCAGACAGGTACAGCTGAACTGCCCAGAGCACATCCAAGGAAAGGAATGCTACCTTGCAATATGTGAAAGCTGTGGATATAAGGAAGACAATGTCCCCATGTAGGCAAAAATCCAACACTCCTTGAAAGAAGTGGGCAGACGGCAATGCAGTGAGAAACAGTAATCAGGGTAACATCCTGAATACTCTCAAAGAAGGGTCCCAGAGTACTGAAAAGACTAAAAGCAAGTCACACAGTGGCAACAGGGAGCACACAGGGCGAACTCCCAGGATAAAGGCCCAACGCAAGAAGTGCGTGGCCAAGGAACAGCAAACACAGAAGCCTGATCCTTAATAGTACTCGAGGTAAGTTTTCAGTCAACACCCTGTTGGAGAAGGCCAACACCTGAGCCACCGAGAAGCATGGATAGACACTCAGCTCAGTACCCGCCAACAGAGGCCTTCCAGGAGTAATACAACCTCCGATAGCTAGACTTGTGCACCTTTAACGTGGGGGTCTCAAAGCCAAGGAATTCCTCATCCCTCAAAAGCCAGCTTGCAATAACCACTTGCAAGCCAGAGGCATAAGATAGGGTAGCAAACTTGACCCTGGAACAAGAGATCCCCCCTCTCAAACAGGCCCATCAGCACCACACTGGGGTACCACAGATGACTAGGTCAGCCCAGGGCTATCAAGTTTACCAGAATCCCCTCAGCTTATATTCTACATAACCGGCAAGGGGGCAGCCTGAGAGGCGGGGGAAGTGGAAATAAGGCAATACTGATCACATGATGCTACTAGCGAGTACATTGCAGCTGCCAGGGGATCCCGCATGGACGCCACAAACCATGGTACATTCTTGTCCAGACAGAGAACCAGCAATTCCACACCAGGGGTCCTCCAGCACAGGCAGAGCTGATGAACATTCTTGGCAGCAGGGATCAGCCCCTCAATCCAGTTAATGACAAATGAGGTAACCTGCCTGCCAGTTTGTGATGCCGGGCATTTGCCACAGCAACGAGAGCAGGATTGTGCTGGTCTGACCCGCAGAATGTGGGATGTCTCCAGCACCGCTGCCAAAATCCTTGTGCCACCATGATGGCTCACATAGGCCACTGCATTGGTGTTGTCCAAATGGAGACCGGATCGTGAGTCCCCTAGAAAAGGTCCATACCGTGCTCCTGAGATAACCTAATCAGCTCCAGGACATTGATAGGCAGGAGAGCCTCCTCCCACATTCAAAAGTCCTGTGACGATTTTAGACCCAGGACGCCTTCCCAGCTGGACAGGCTGGCATCCGTTGCGACAATGATCTAGCGGAGGGGGGAGAAGCAATTCTCAGTTAGTAGGGCCCGGAGATCGAAGTCACCATTCAGGACCCATCAGAAACCTTGCAGGGATTGCATTGTGATCTCTATGTCAACCAGCAGCATGGATATGTTAGTTCACCTGCAGGAACAGGTCGTTTAAAGAATCCTGTCAAACCCAGCCTGAAGGTAAGCGCCACAAAGTGACAATGAGCATCCCCACTGCAAAAGTGTAAGAGCGTGCATGTATGCATCCTTGAAGGCTATGGGTAGCGTTGTGATGCAGGCATCAGGAGTCCAGTCATATGAGCCCCCGTGAGATGTTTAACTTGCTGGTCTTCCCCAGTCCCAGATGGGGCTTAGTGTTAGCCAACCCAGTGCTTGGCTATAGCTCCGTGTGCATTCACTGGGGCAACCACTGGAACTATATTATCGAGCCCAGCTGTTGATTGAAGATCTCTGCAGGGGAGAAAAAAAAAAAAGTGAAAAAGTTCACAGAACCAGAGGTCCCAGCAGGGAGCTAGGTCACTACTCCTGGTACTAGGCAGAAAGAACTGGATTTCCTATAGCAGAGAGGGGGTTTATACCAGCTGGAACTGCCCGAGTGCAGAGTTTCTTTTTCTGCCTAGTGTTCTACTCCTGTAGGTGGAAATATAACCCTATGGTTGAGAATCAGAAGAGCTGTGTCAGTCATTGAACATTAGAGAAGTAAGCTTTTAAGTCAGTGTTCTGCAGAGTTATTTTATATCATTCTGCCAGCCAAAACCCAAGTATGAGGTATAGGTCACTAAATTATTGGGGTTAACAAGATCATGCCCTCACCTTATTTTTAAAGGAAATGCAGCATGGCAAAGCTACCTTAAATGCACTTGCCTATCATAGCAACCACCACGGTCAAAAACCTTCCGTGAACTGCTGGACAGCACAGGCTTCCTTTGGTCACATCCTCTCAGCTCACCATCACTTCTACCAGCATAGAAACTGTACCCTCGGGAACCTGTATCGCTATTCTGTGCAGACATTGTTAGGCTGTTTTTCCATGCAAAGTGGTTATCCTGTATTTACTACCACAATTAGATTGACAGGTCTGTGGCTACAAATGAAACAAGATGCCAACACCTGTTTTTTGATCAGTGGACTGATCCCCAAAAACAAAGGATAATTTGATAAGGCAAAAGTAATGGAAGGAAAAAGACACTGATCAAGGTTTGGGTACCTGGTCTCTAAGCCTGGGTTCACACTGATGCGATGCGGAATTTGCAGCTGTTTCTGTGCAAATTCTGCACTGCATCACAATTGCACCCCGCTCATACGAACTGCTGCGGATGTGTATGTTAACACCCCAAAATCAATCCACAAAAACGTACGTTGTGCAGAATCGGATTGCATAGGTGTGACTACCCATTCGATCCGATTCTAGTGCGGACCAAAAAAGGGTCCTGCACCTTTCTGGATGTGGTGAGATTTGAGCCATACAAAATGTATGGCTCAAATCGCACCGCACAGAATCCGCACAGGAATGTGGTGTGGTTCATGTGCGAATCACATGCGATATGCTGCACCGCACAAGTGTGAACCCAGGCTAAATATGTGCTAGCCACTTAGCTACTGTACTGCCCATTATGCGGGTATTTCATACCAACACATAAACAAGACATCACAAATTCCAATTA